CTAGTCCAACTCCTCTGCCATGGTCAGAGACATCTTTCACTAGATAAGGCTTCTTATATTTTCCAGTTACTGCAGGATTATGAATTGTTTCCTGTGGATACTAAGGAAGCAACTGATTACTCTTATGTTCAGTCGTCTTCACTTTTTGGTCTTGAGTTTTACTTTTTTCTTATCATGAAAGTGAGGAATAAATCGAAGTAGCCAGAGCTGTTGTGGCATCCTGTGGAGTTTACATGTACATATCAACATTGGACGGGTTCAAGTAGCTATTTTGATTTTAGAAATTGGTATTGGCACAGCATGTTTTAGTTCACTGAAGGCTTCAGTGGGATTGCCTAGAAATAATGTTGAGCTGCTTCTTTAGAAGATACCATTATTTTTCCCTATTACCGCCCTTTTTATCAGAGAGAAGAACATAAACATTTAGTTCCACTATCTCCTGAATCTTTTTTACCTGCTTTTTCTTCAGGTCATTCAGGTCTGTAACAGTGCAGGCTGCTTGCTGGGAAAGCCACACTCCATGGTGTTACCAGAGGTGGTCGTTGCTGTCAGAGCAGCCAGGAACTCTTCCCCTGGTGTAGGAGGGTGTTTGCAAAAATACCCAGTTTGGACTTTTCTCTTGGAAAACAATCTGTGGAGAACATTTTAGCATGTTTGCTGTGAGCAGAAGGCTCTTTGCCAACAGTGCATTTGTTTGGTGACAGCTATTTTTGGCCTGTTAGTTTCTGAGCCTTTTGTAATAGCAGAAAGAGGAAGCGAACAGTGAAATCACTTTAATAACATATTTCCTGGTTGAAGTGACTTATCTGTGAGGCCTAGACAGAGGAGATGTCATTTCCTGGATTACTTCTCTTCAGTTTGAACAGTCTGTTTTACTGTGTAATCTCTTGACCCAGCTTCTTAATTGTAGTGCAGTTTTTGTGTTAAGTAATGTTACCCGGTGTTTTAATGAAAATGTAAAACTTTAAGGAAACAGCTTTTGTCAAAGTGCTAACGTGCAAGTCTTTCATAAACTATATGTTGATATGAACTTGAAATCCCTTACCTTAGAATTATGTTAAAGAGCTTAAAATCTTGTCTTTAAAAGAGTATGATAATAAGGTTTGTTCTCAGGGATAAAAAAATTTGACACACTTTCTATACCTCGTGATGGTGATACTAATCAGCTGTCTTTGATGGCAGCTGTTGCTGACTGTCCTCAAGAGTTAGGACACTTCCAAATAGTTAAGAATAGTCCTGTTCTCAAATTGCTGCTGATGAACGGCTACTTGTGAAAATTGTTATCAGAAGTCCATGCAAATGCAGAAAAAAGAACTAATAAAAATTAGCTGCAAATATCGTTCTCGGTTTTTATAGCCCACAAAAAAGCTGTGGAATCAGAATGACACGGGAAGAAACAATGGCATCTGAAGTGATGGTATACAGCTCAATTTAAATTGGAAGTTACGGTTGTTTTGGACCTTGTGATCCAACTTTATTAAAATGTCTGTTGGGGATGATAAATTTATTCTTTTCCCTGACTTTGTGCATGAGATATAAGTAGAGCACGCTATGAATGTTTTACTTGGTCAACCTCTAAAATATCTTTGCATGAAAAGCATTAAAGTATCAGATGACCTCACCTTTCTCCCCCACAAAAATATGAAGAACAAAAATACGCCTTATTGATTTGTGTTAGCACAGAGTGCTTCTACATCTCCTTTAAAATGTCCACCCAGTTGTTAGTGATCATTAAATTATTGTTTCAATATCAATGAAAGAAGACTGTAAAAGGAGCAATAAGGTATTAGGCTGTGAAGAGAGAAATAAAGTAAGAACATGCTTAGAGCTCTAAAGAACTAGGTTTTATTTTTGAATATGTGCGGTAGAAACGAAAACTGTAATTCATGAGAAAAATATGTTCAGGACCAATTGTGAAATTGTAATTGCATTAAGGGTTTCTAAATGGTAAGAAAGACTGTTACTTTGATACTGTAAATTGATGCTGTAAACTACAGGCATATATTAATGAAAGCATAGCTTCAAGTCGTATTTGATGATAGAGTTAGGTCTTGTGAGTAGACTACCAGCTAAGAGGAATTGAGACTTTATTGTGCTAGGTAAAATCATAAAAGATGGCCCAGCTGTTCTCCATCAGGGCATTCAGTATGGTCCTTTTCTACATGTTACAAGGTGAAGACCTATATTTCTACTGATGCACTGTGCTACAGAATGAGATAATCTAGTTTGAAGGCAGTGTTTGTTAAACAGAGTTTGCTATTACAGATTCTGTTTTGTTATTTTCGAGGAAGTCACCTCAAGTCAGTACTTTATGTTGACATTTGCCCAGATTATTGGGCAGTTCCTGTGCAATTCATGCAGTGACTAATCCATAAATATTTAACAACTCTGTTACTTTGATTTTGTTTTACTGTATTTTTTGTAAAAATGTCATCAAATTTAAGAATAGGTACTAAGTCTTCTGTCCATCTGAAAGAAGAGTGCAGTGTCCTAGTGTGTTACTTCTTTATCATTAATGGGTCTTGCAGGAACAGTTATGGTCAAGGCTGACACAATGATTATAAATATTGTTCTTAAAGTAACTAGGACTGATAGTGTGTCTTCCTCATTGACTTCTCTTTTTCCTTACACTGTTTTTTATAAGGAAGTTCTAAGATGTGATGTTTAAGACCTTCATAATACAATTCATGTTACATAGATTCAGTAATAAAATTCCACCTTTTCTCTGTGTGGCAGTGGAAATATTTTAGGTATTCCATCACTGAATGGTTGAGGTTGTCAAGGACCTCTTGAGATCATCTAGTCCAGCTCCCCTGCTCAAGGCAGGGTCAGCCTAGAGTAGGTTGCCCAGGACCGTGTCCAGTCAGGTTTTTAATATCTCCACTGATGGAGACTCCACAACTACTCTGGGCAATCTGTTTGAGTGCTTGACCACCTTCACAGGAAAAAAAAATGTGTTCAGATCCAATTCCATGTGTTTTACCATGTTGTCTCATCCTGTCAGTGAGCCCTACCTTTTCTTCATTCCCTCTTCATTCCCCCCCATACATATTGATGAGATCCCCTGCCCTGAATCTTCTTCAGGCTGGAGAGTCCCAGCTCTCTGAGCCTTTCCTCTTACGAGAAACACTCCAGTGCCTTAATCTTCGTGGCCATTTGCTAGACTCGCTCCTCTCAGTAAGTCCCTGCCTCTCTTGCTTTGGGGAGCCCAGGAGTGGACTCCAGGTGTGGCCTCACCAGTGCTGAGTAGAAGGGAAGAATTGCCTCTGTTGACCTGCTGACAATGCTTTCCCTAATGCAGACCAGGATGGTGGTGACCTTTATTTTTGCCTGCGAGGATGCACTGCTGGGTCATGGTCAGCTGCTTGTCCACCAGGACCCTTGGGTCCTTATTTGCTTTCCAGCTTGTCACACCCCAGCCTGTACCTGGTGCCTGGGGTTATTCTTCCCCAGATGCAGGACTTGGCATTTCCTCTTTTTGAACTTTGTGGTGTTAAACAGTTCTGGCCCCAGAGGTGTGTGCTGGGATACACTACTAGTGAATAGCCTCCAACTGGACTTTGTGCCGCTGATCACAAACTTGTGGGCCTAGTCTTTCATAACAGTTTTTAATCCACTTCATTTTTTAACCCATACTTTGTCAGCTTATCTATAACACTTCCCAAGACACTTTCATTTGTTAGGAGATAAAAGAAATAGTAAGTTGCAATCAAATTTCTTAGTTTTGAAAATGTGCTTAATCATTAATGTTTTTTTGTGGTGAAAAGTGACAGCTCCACAGATCAGGTAGTTGTATATTTGTGTGTGTGTGTGTGTGTGTGTGTGTGTGTGTGTGTACTTATGACAGCCTGACATTGAAAATGCTTTTAATAATCTTGGGCCTTTCCTTTAACTCTATCCAGGTAGATAAATTTAGAGCGAGTATAATAATTTTAGTTATATTTGCAACATAAGATAACTTCCCAGATATATTAAGAAAAAAAAATATATAAAATCTAGTTCTGTTGCTTGACTGTTAATAAACTTGATGTGCTCTCTGACTTAAATCTCTGTGATGCCCTGTCAAGGCTCAAAAACCTGAAGAATCGGTCTTGAGATTTTGTCTTAGAAAAATGAACAAAGCTGCCAGTTCAGACAGAACATGGGAGATGCTGAGTATGAATGGAGTCTCTGGCTCTTCTTAGTATCTGAAACTAATTTTTATTTTTAATTGTCCCTCTGTAACTGGAAAGGACTTCAGATTTTGAGGAGTAATTTTTAATGTTTTTCTAGGTTGCTGAAAGGTGGAATTGAGCAAAGTCTTTTAACAGGCGCTTAAAGTACTATTTTTAGTTTAGATTTTGATGATCTCATCCCTTGCCATTTTAAGAGGTCTCAATTGTTTTCTGTGGAGGCAGTGATAATTGGTAGCAGAACGGCATGTAAAGTTCTGGCTTGTCTTCTGTTGAGTCATTTAGAAAAAGTAATCTAGTCTTGTGAGCTTGAACTATGTGGTGAATTGTCTTCCTAAGTTTAGGTCATGTCTTGCTTCCAAGAAGAAAAATGTGCAGTTAGTTTTTGAATAGCCAGAATAAGGTGAAGTAGAGACTGTGATCAAAGCAATAAATAATATGGATAATACATAGTTTTTTAATATGGAGGAAAAGTGTAATGGAAGTAAGAAAAACAGATTGACCAAACTGAGTATCTTAAATTGATGCTTAATGGTTAAGATTGCTTACTGGTTAAGAGAAAAACTACTATTCCAGTTTAAGTCCCAGTGCCACTAATCAGGGGTAATGTATCTGTACTGTTTATAGACCAATTTAGAGACAGTCAGTGTGTGTTAGCTCCTTTGCTGGTTTGTAAACATACTTGAGAGCTTGTGTGATCTGCCAACTAGGAATGTAATGCATGCTTGAATACTATATAATTACTCTCAGTGTAGTAGTTTTAAGAAAGCTGTTAATATTTTAGAACTCACTTTTTCTTTTTTTTTTTTTTTTTTCCTTTCAGGATGGCTTGAATTCTTTGGTCCTTGATCTGGATTATCCAGCGCTGAGGAAGAACAAGAACATTGATAATTTCTTAAATAGATGTAAGTTGCAAGTTGCCCTTAAACAACGACATTGTTGTAATGTCAGTCACAGGAAGCTGAGTGGTTAGAAATGCATTGCTCATTTTCATTTCACTGATTTTTGTAACTCTGAACTTCTGTATTCAGAAGGCTTTAGAGGACCACTTATTACGGAGAAGTTTCATTTTGGGGAGTCATTGTATTGCTGAAAATATGCTGGAAAATACCAGATGTAGATTGTAACTTTTCCAACTGTAGCTGGAAAAATCCTTATATGTTATTTTTTATCTTAAGTATGTGCAACGACATAATTTGTAAAGCATATACCAGTTACTATTCTTTAGGAATTAATTACTCAAAATGTCAACATTGTATACACAGTCTTATTTAACTTAACAGAGAAGCCTCCTGTTGATTTTTAAAACTGAATTATTGTACCTGAATATCTGTTAGTGTGTTTTTCAATCTTTGTGTAAATGTTTGTGATTCTCCCCACATTAATTTTAGACGGGTTCATGGGGCTTATGGAATGTATGAAAATGGAAGACACATCAGAGTGGCTGTATAGAAACAATTTTTTTTTCTTGTAAAAATAGTGGATTATATGCTTTAAAATGTAAGTTGCAGTGAATAAGCCTTCTTGGAATAACTGTGCTTTGTAGTGAGCTTATTTTGAGATTATTTTTTTTAAAAACAACCTTTTCTGTTGCATATGTTGAGCTTACTGCAGATACGGTCTTATTAGCAACTCCTCTTTTGATTCTTTACTGGTAAGAGCTACATGTGTCTGTCCTTCGTTGCTCTGGGACTCTTGAATATCTACTCATGCTCCTCAGTTAAATGTTGGCTGATGTAGTCATCTGTGGTGAGTTCTTAGGTTTGGAATTCAGAGCCTCTCCGTGAGGTTTAGCAGAGCCCCATAGCTGCACATATACCCTTAGAGTTGCCAGTAAAGTCTCATTTGGAGAAGTCACTGAAAACAGAATAAGAAACAGCAGATTAGGAATAAGAAGCATATTTTGGGATGTTTTTGTAGTTTGAGTTCAAAGGAATTAATCTGTGCCTTGTATGTGTGATGGGAGGGGAAAAGTCTACAGCAAATATGAAAGTGACATAAATGACAGTATCAGTAACTTTTATGAGCTGTTAAGATTCCCCTTTACATTACAATACTGTTTTTGCAGTAAGATAAAATCAGAAATATTTTTCTAATCAGAAGAGCAATATCTTCTGGCTATTAAAAAATAGCAACTATGGGAAAATAGTTTAATCTTGGGAATAGGTTTTTTGGTTTGTTTCTGCAGCCCCTGAACATTCTTGCTGTATTCTCTCTTCTGAAGGCTGTTGCTTGTTCTCCTACTCTAGGTTCTTTCCATTGTTATAGTAAATATTAAGTGTCTAATGTGGCCTGTGGGCTACCAGCAATGGCAGAAACCCCAAAATATCCTTTTGTCACAATTTTATTGCTGCCTTTTTAAAAAAATATGCTGACAGTTTATAATTTAAATAGCAAGGTGTTAGTTAAAATTCTAAGATGAGTTTCAAAAAATCCACAGTAGTTGGGTGATGTGGGGTGCACTTCATCCTTACCTGATAAACTTAAAAAAACAAAACAAAACAAAACCAGGCATCTAAGAGCTGGCTGTTTTGGCTCACATGTTGTAAGGCCATGCATCTCTTAAAAATCACCTATATAACTTCTCTCCTGTTTCTGTACTGCTTGGGAGAAAATGAAAAGTAGTGCTGCATATTTTCTGTGATTTATGCTTTTTAAAAAAAAGTATTACTGAAATGAGAATTTTGTAAACATTTGAAGCTAATATTTTGGCATTGCAACTGAAAGCATCAGTCCTGTCACAGCAGTTTGTTACAAAGTCCTGTCTGACACAGGTGTTTGTGTGGTTTGTTGTGAACCAAATTGAGGAACGGAGCAGAATTAATGCAGAGTGGAGTGGTTGGTTTGTTTATTTCTTTTTGTTAAAACTAGTCAGGCAAAAGAAAAGCAAAGACCAGTTTCTGATTTTCATTTCACTTCACTGGTATTTGTGCCAGCACAAAGGGAGCTCCTCCAGTGCAGGAAAAAAACAGGACAGTTGAGTTCTTAACGGCATCACCATTTCATGCAGTTTCAAGTTGCTGAACTCATAGCTCATGTCTTTTCGGAAATTGCTCTGAGGGTAGCAAGTATCAGTGGAAAGGAAGAGTGTACACAGGCCTGCTGAAGCCTCTTGCTACCTTGGACTTGGAGGAAGAGTGAGAATTGTATTAAGAATTTATGCAACAGTAAGTTGTTGCTCTCTTTGGTTAGGGAACAGCAAGTTCTTGTCTCCTGTTTTTTCTCAGCAGTAGCTGTAGCAGATGACTAGATGAGAATGTCAAAAGGTTGTGACAAACTGATGGACTGTCTGTGCTGGGATCCTGGAGACTGCATCCCTTCTCAAGGCTTCCTGAGGCAACCCTGGCGAGGTGGCAGGGCCGTATTGTGAGTTAGTGCTCTGTAGAGCAAAGGGAGGCAGCTGGGGTGGAGTTGTTGCTTATGATTGTTTTAATCCGTATTACACAAATTTTGTTTTTTCCACACAAAAAATTTGTGGAGAACACTGCAATAATCATCACACTTTCAGTCAATTTAGTCACTTAATTCTTCCACAATAACACCTTGAGAAGGAAAATATTTATTCTACCATATTCCCAGGGGTTTGAATATGTACTGCTTCAGACCTACTGCAAGGCATTATTAATCAGGTTAATGTTTTATTAATAGCCTATTTTAATTTAAAAATGAAATAGTTTACATCTCAGAAGAGACATTAAATGATTTTCAGCTCAACTCATAGTTTCAAGCTGAAATTCAAATGTTTCAACTAATTTCATAAAGCTATTATTTATTAATTGCCTGTAAGATGGGAGTTTTCTATATCCTGTTTCTGTGACCACTTTGCAGAAGCAGCCTCTTCATGTGTTTAATATGCAAGAAATTTTTTCATTTCCTGCTTTCCCTTACTATTCTGATTTCTTACCACTTTCTCTAAGGCATTGACTCAAAGCAGAGGCACATAAGTATCTCATATAATACAACCATTTCTTTTCAGTCTTCTGTATTGCTTTAATCAACTGTTAGGAGTCTGGTTAAATTGCTGCTTTTTTGGAGTTTTCATGGGGCTGAAAAGAAGCTTAAGCTTTTCAGCATGGGCTTTGTGTAACAAATCTTTCTTGATCTTTTCTTTTCCTCTTAAGTCATCTAGGCTATGGCAACAGGTTGAATAAATTCTTCCAAGTCACTTCTTCTTCAGCCATCTGAGATTTGCCAAGTGTTGAATCATGTCTTAGTGACTTGTGCCTGTTTCGGTGGTCTCCCACGCATGTACTACTTATCCTGTTAGCTGCTTCAACTTTGGGGAGCAGAAAGTTAAATAATTAAGCAACAGTTTTAAACAACAGTTAAAAATATTTAATCGTGTATAATCTTACATCAAGAATAGAAGGTCATGAAGAACGGATTGTGAGGAAGTTCAAATAGCAGCAGAGGGAGTGCTACCATCAACTGGCCTGGTACAATCCCAAATACTTGACTTTCAAAATGGATCCGTGACTTCCTATGCATTATCCAGCATCACTGAAAAATTGGAAACCTCTATTTTTAAAATGATTTGCTGATGTTTGGGAGGTTGGCGAACTTCTAGAATGTAATGGCAATAGATGTATTTAGTGTAGGAGGAATTTTTAGTACAGGTGTGTCACTCATGCAGCAGCTTTGCGACCCCCCTGAATAAACTTTCTGGAAAGTGACTTTTACCATTTTCCCCTCCATGCAGACACTGCTTACTTTAAAGTTATATCTGCTATGGTTAATTTCTTGCAAGAGTAACAGTTCTGCTTCCTTCCCTTACATTTTGTTATGTCTCTTGAAGTTGCTGAATCATATTCCAGCCATGTGTTTACCAACAGAAATGTGTTATCTGGTGTAGTGTTAATGCCTATCATTAATATAATTCTCTGTGCTCCATACTTCCTGCCTGTGACACAGATAAAATGTCAGATGCCAAAAAAATATTAGAAATTTATTGCACTGTAGAATTTATGTTAAGGAGCTAATTGCCCCTCTGGTTTTCTCTTGGCTTCTTTAAGACTACTCCTTGCCAGGTCTTTGCAGTCACCTCAGCAGACTGGGCTCTGGTTCCATTCTTAATGATACTGCTCTGGTAAGAGTAGTGATAGGTAGGAAGAGGTATCAAATAAGCAACTTGTCCCAAGCAGAGCATGAATTAGAGCCACAGTGTTTAAGACATAATGTCTTAGATGTATAAACAAGTTACATGTCAGTGTTATTAACCACTTTTCCATTTGGGTACTTCGTAGATACAAAGCAATTCAGTTTTGCCATGAGGCTTATTTCATTAAGTCAGGGATGTGTCCTCTGCAAGTCAGAGGACTGCTGCTTTCCGTTTCCCTGTTCTTCCACTCCTTTCCGCAAAATACTTCTTGTGTCCCCTGTATTTTTTCTGGAGGGGGAAACAGTAGCTTGTCTGAAGCTACGCCTTCTAGCTTCTGCTCCTTCTGCAGGGTCTCCAACAGCTTATTGTTCCTCACACACCTTTGAACAGATATTATGTATGCACTCCTAATTACTTCAGTCTTCCTGTTGTGCTTTTTTGTTTGGTTTTGGGCGGGTGTGGGATTGCAGCACTTCCTGGCTGTACTTCAGTTTAACTTCTGGCTAGACTTTTGCCTAGGGCAGCAACTTTTGACTTAATGTACTCCATAGCAGCACTCATTGACTGACTGTGTCTGGTCTGTGGGGATAAAATTGCACTCCCTTGCATTTTTATTCCTCATATATACACACCCCAGAACTGCCTGATACACATTCTTTTTAACTTTTAAGAAAATAACTTGAATATGAACTTTTTTTTTTCCTTAAACAGCAGAAAAACGTGGTTTTCTCTTCCTCCCCACCCCCCTTTACTCTTCTAGTCACGTATTTATTCCATTTTCACAAGCACTTGTAACCTTCAGCCACA